AAAGTTACGCTCTTTAGCATTAGCGCGCGTGGATACCGTAGTGACGAGCACGAACGCGCGCTCGTATTAATAGTAAATAGCGTAAGGCTGATGGCCTAAAAAACGTAAACGCAAGGGCAGCTCTCGTTTACCGCGCTTGTGTTTACGTTTTTCTCTGCCTTAGCTTACGTCTACGCCACGACAATTACGTCGCGTTCTCTGCCATCAGCCTAACAAACAAGAATTCAAGAATCGCGCGCGTTTAGGCAGAGATTCACTCTGGTTTAGATACGTCGTAAATGGTTTGCCCAAGTTGGCTCTATTTTTTCTAATCTACATACGTTGAAATAAATTAAAGTTATTACTATCCTATTAATTCTTGTTTGTTTTAATTTGCAAAAATGTTACATCTCTCAGAACAAGAACGCATATCGCTTTTGATGATGAGAGGATGGGGAGATAGATTAAGATCTTACACTGACGTTAAAAATCTTTTCAATTACACTTTCCGAAATGCAGATAATGGCATATCAAGATCTACAGTTAGAACCATTAGGCGTTTCGAGTAAACAGGATGTGTATCTAACAATACACATATAGCAAAACTTTTAAGTCTTTTACCTGTTAAAGAATATGTGAACACGACATTTTCAAAATAACGTACGATCTTAGGATGAAATTCCCTTTCAGGAAACTGATTGGCATTATCATCGTCATCTGATGGATAATCAAAAAATAAATCCACTATTCCTTCTATATCCATTTCTTGTCTGAAAATATTTTATTATTCTAAGATATTAAAGTAATATGAGAAAAATACAGGTAATATTCAGTTAATACATGTTTAAAATAATGAATATTGTAAACACTAACATTATTGATATCACATGATTTAGAAACAGTTGAATAATATTTCTATACGTGAAGATATAAAATTTATTTTTAATTTACTATAAAATTTAATATAATAAGATATAAAATTTACCAACAATAATTGCTGCAAACTAGAAGCAATACTTATACTGCAATTGTTATAGCAATTTGTGTAATGTTGAGAAAACAATTTTATTCTTTATAAATTATTTTATCATTCAATACAAATGTGTTTCATAGCATCTAATGTGTAACAGTACTTAATAAGAAATGACATTATACTATGATGTTTAATTTATTAATAAATAACATTTCTTAAAAATCAATTACCTGATTCTGATACCAAAGCTATCCGCCATGCTACTCTACTCTACTCTACTCTACTCTACTCTACTCTACTCGATTTATCGGACAGCATTGAGTTGTCATGAATCATGAAGATACTTGATGGTTGTGCCTATCATACTTTTCGGCCCTAGTGAAACTAACTCGTACTAACTCGAACTCGAATTATCGTAAACACCCA